TTCCAATGTAGCATTTCTTCGCACATGGAAAAACTATGAAGAATTTTATAGCGTCCCACTGTGTTGCTTGGGGAAGGGCCAGTTTGTTTTCTGAATACCACCAGAGCCGCTTTTTAATTCCCCCTTATCCCAAGGTCTATTATCTTCTGGGGAATATAGACTGATTTTAATAGTTTTTTGGGAACTGGGAATAAGGCTAACATCTTATGGGGATGTACAGCTTGACTTTTTGCTTTCCTGTCAGCCTTTTGCTTTCCCAAGGAGACTTCAGACATATCTCTTTGGTGCTCTTTACAGTGCATGACTATGATCTGCTTGCGAAGATGGATTGCCTCTAGGAATTATAAAATTTCCTGCTTGTGCTTTTTATAGATGATTATTTATTAGTTAGTAAGCTTCTTCTTTCCAGAGTGCTGCGTGGGCATGTAGAACCAAAAAGGCTTTTGTTGGAATGTGTGTGTGTGTGTGTGTGTGTGTGTGTGTGTGTACTTAACTTTTTGCCTTTTCCTAATATCAATGACCAAGTAAGAGCTATTAGCCTTGCCTTTTGAGCAGAGGTCCCTGGGGGAAGAGGTTGAACTTTAGTGACCTGTTATGAACTGACAACCGCATAACCTGCCTTTCATTGTTCTTGGACAAGCTACTTCTGTCAGTGAACCATGCTTTCTCATAGTCTTGAGGGGCAGGTCACTGATGTCCTGCTGGCCTGCATAGGTGTGAGAGATTACTTGTTCACAAAGAGTAGCTGACTTCTGGACCTGTAGGCATCCAAGAGGCAGGATTAAGATTGTGCAAGTTTTTTGTTTTTTGTTTTAATAACCTCCAGGGTATCTAAAGAGCAGGATCTGGTACTTAGCACACCATTCCCTTGTTAACCACAAGTAACCTTTGGTCTTAAGAATCACTTTGACCTGATGGAGTTTAGAACTGTCCTAAAGTCTTCCTCTGTTGACATAGCTGTAGTTGCTATTACCTTTGGGCTGGATGCTTATTCAGCAGCCATTCCATTTCCTGGGAATTTGTAATTAACAGGTCATGCCTATTTCTATGTCAGCTTTGCCATACCCTACCTTCCTGTCTCGGGATCGTGAGTTTTTAGGTGGCCACATTGCCTCTCAGTTCCTCTTTCACTCTGTTTCTGGATTGTCATGAGGTCAGTAGCTTTCTCCACCTGACCCTCTGACCATGTCTTCTGGCCATGGAGCTAGCTGACTATGGACTCTAACCATGAGCCAAAATAAACACCTTCTTTAAATTGTGGATGTCAGGTATTTCATCCCAGCAATGAGGAAAGTGATTAAGATAGTGAAGGCTAAGTAAAATGGATAAAGAAAAACAAAATGTGTCTTAGAATTACAAATGGAAAGGAGTTAATAAGTGTGTCAGAAAACCTGAAAATCTGGCAAGGCAAGAGTTGGGATCAAGGACCCTGGAAGGTAGGATTTAAGACTAGAATTTAATGTGATGGAGATGGACATTCCTGAGATGTAATGAAATCAGAGAAGCTTTGAAAATAGGAAGAAAAAGGTATAGTCCAGCAGAGGAAGCGCATATTACTCAAATAATTGCCAAGATGTGTCATGCAAGGAGCCAGACCTCTCTTCTCTGTTCTTTGTGCCACGGTTCAAGACATATAGGCAGCTGTGCAGAAATTTAGGCACAGTTTATTGTAAAGCAGATAAAGAGGATTATGCCTCCAGAGATGGACGACAGAGCCTTAGAGGAATCTGTACTGCGTAGGAATTTAGATATCTTTTTATGTACACAAGAGTTACTCCTGGGATTCAGGGGAACTATGGTGGATATGATGCTTATCAACGTTTTTTAAGAGGTTACTTTGGAATTGTACATTGTCATCCTTGTTCTTTTAGATGGTCAGTCTTGCCTCAGGGGCCTTACTCATGTAAGAAGCTTAAAAAATAAATTTATAAAATAAAAAGTTCTAATCTTAATCAGAACCCACCTAAGGCACAGAATTAACAGTTAACTCTCCTATGACTTCCAGATTCATATACATTTTCTTACTTATATGGAATATTGGGGTCCATATTCTTGATCCCCTCATAAGAATAAAGTGTATTAACTGTATCAGTAACCAAAATGTGATTGAATTCAGCCTTCTCCTCTTCAATAAGTGATAATTCCTTTCTTCCAGATGCTCAACCAGTTAGTCAAATTCTTTAACCTTCTCTTTTGAACTGTATTTAGAATCAGTTATTCTAATCTCCTGATCTGTCATTTCCCTAAGCCATGTCACCACCAAATCATCTCTTACGTGGACTCTGACCCTAACTGGTCTCCTTTTTCTTATCCTTGTCCCCTCAGTGATCTCTCCTCATTTTGCATCTAAAGCAATTTTTAACAAAAAAAGTCAGAGCACGTCAGTCCTGCTCCTAGGCCTCTCACTTTGCCAAATAAAGCCTGAATAAAATACCACGGAACTAAAGGTTTGACATGATCCTGGCCTCTGGATAGCTGTTTCACTTTATTTCTTTTTATTCTCCCTCTTGTTCCCTCTACCTACATTGTCCTCAGTGCTCTTCTTCAAACAGACCAATGCATCTTCTTACATATGGGTTGTCCTGTTAGCCTCACAGTTCATTTTCTCATACTCGTTAGGCTTTTGCTTAAAATGTTACCTTATAAATAAGGCTTTCTAGACCACTCTATATAAAGTAGCATTTGCTTCTATTGGTCACATTCTTGAGATTCTGTCTTTCTGCTATAGTATATTTTTATTATAGCTTGGCATAAAAAAATATATATATATATTTCATTTCTTTTCTTTGTTTTCTTGGTGTTGTATTGCCATATACTCAGCTTCTAGTTCTGGCATAGAGCAGATCTTCAATAAATACTTGTTGAATGGATGAATCTTAAGTACATCCTATGAGATGAACACTTTTTATAAAAAGATAGCCACTAGATGGCACTGTTTTCAAACTCATGTCCTGGAGGGGGTGGGGGTGGGGAATAGGGTTTTGCCCTAAAGAAAATGTATATTTGTATTTTCTCAGTTTTTTTTTTTAAATAAAAATCATTTGGAAATGCTTATAGAAAGCTGCAGCATACTGATGTATAAATAATCATTCAGTACAGTTATTTGGCGTGATAGCTATGAATGAAGGTAGTTCATGTTCATGCACTGCCTGCCATTTGACCATTCTCAATCCACTAGTTGAAACCCAACTTTCTGCTGGAGGGCAGAAAATTATTTTTGTCTTTCAGGTGTGCCATTGTTACCAATTGACTAGTTATTCCCAGTTTGATTCTTGATCACCTATATATCCAAACTTTGAGAAACTTCCATGTTTCTGTCAGAATTTTCTGGTCAAAGCCATACCTAAGCTGTTAAAAATTGGTGTTTTATTTTTTTAAACTTACTTCTCTAATGCTAAACTCAACAAATAGCTGCCCTAGTAGAGGAATTTGCACATTTCTACCAAAATCCTCAGAACTTTCCTGTCTACTTTTGCTAAGGCAATACCATTTTTTCTTGCTTCCTCACTTAATTCACCCTCTTCTTCCATTTTAATCCCTATGCCTCTCTAAAGTATTTCTGAATGGTCACCTGATACACCTTCTTCTCACCGTGCACCTCTTTTGATATTATTCTTATTTCTGAAGTATTTTTCTCTTCATGTTCAACTTAATTGTGTTTTTTCCAGTTTGTTCAAAATATATTTTAATAAAGTTGTTGACTAGTTTTATTTCTCTCTTCTTTTTTGGTTTTAGGTTTCCCCCTTTCATTTCTGAGTATAGCACATGTAAGGAACTTACTTTGTTTATTTCTTTAAAGTTCTCAGCCTCTTGAACTGTTTAGAAATTAAAACACTGAGCTTTTGTACTTTGGTGTAGAAATGGAACATAAAATATAGGATGGTTTTAATATTTACAATCTCTCCCTCAGTCTGATTGGATGGCTAAGTGTAGGGTGGATAAAGTATCATTTTAAATGGATAACAGTTATATCCAAAGAGTTGTATTTTCTAACACTTTGAATTGAAATATTTGCAATTTTTAGTAATGGTCTCTATGTCTTATTTTATTAATGATGATACTTGTCTCACCTTGTCATTCTTTTGTGCTTGGCTTACCCATATATTAGATATAGCTTTGAAATCATTGAAATGTTGAGATCATTTTTTTGTTTACTAAGAAACAATTAGGTGGTATTGATTTGTTTAGGTAATTTTCTTTTTAACCAAGGAACCATTGGGTAGCATTTATTTGTATGAATTAAGTTTTAATTGAGACAGCACATTTTTCTGGAATAAAACATGGAGATATTACTGATACCTTATTGTTAGAATGATGATATACTATACTTTTCAAGTATACATTGTTCATTCAAGAAATTAAAATAATTTTTATTTTCTAATATATCTTATAACTAGATAAAATATTTATTTTTTTAAAACAATGGCAAAGTTTATTTGAAAAAGTAAAAGTAAAGAGTTACAGAGAAATTAGTTCTGCAGAGCAAGCTTGGGCCAAATAGAAGAGAAAAAAGCAAGATAAAAGTACATGTTGGAGAAAACAGCAGGCAATTTTGAGGAAAGCCTCAATAGCCTAAAATAAAATTATAAAAAAATCTATTCTCTGAAAAATCTCCAAGATGTTTGCTGAAGATTAGGTGAGAGCTGGGGATTTAGCTCACTGGTTCCATCGCCTGCCTTGCAAACACAAGGACCCGAGTTCCACCCTTGGTACAAAAAGTAAAAGATTAGATGAGACCTATTGCTTCTCGGCTTTTTGGCTGAGTTAAGATTAGACGAGACCTAAAATGCCTTGCTGATGTTATGCTTTGACTGCCAACCTCTGTTAGTATTTATTTAAAAAGGAAAGCTTGCATTTAAAACTTGTATGTATTTAAAGGTATTTGCTTTTATCTGCTCTATTGATAAAGCTCGTATTTCTCTAGTAAAATTCATTAGCTCAGCATTGTGACTTCAGATATCATTGACTATTTTCTCTTGTGGTACTTTTTTCCCTCACAGACTGATCGAGATAGCAGAATCCCGTTTTCCTGGATATTTTAACATTGAAGAAAAATTGCTTTTGACAAGTACCAAAGTTCATGTTTACCGAGAGCTTACCTGTGAAGAAGTTCTACAAAGGTATGCTTTTTAAGATTTTAATATTTAAGTAATACTTTGAAGATTTATTTTTAGTCCTTTATATTTTCAGCTTCTGAATAGAAAAAAATTTGTATATATTAGGATTATGGGAAGTTTTTCAGTTTTCTTTTTTATTTTCTTTATTTCGTTTATTTATTAACTTTTTGAACTATTTCTTTAAAAATAAAAAAAGGTAAATGAATAAAATGTTTCAGATTATTATCAAAGTGGTATTTTAATTATCTATTGCTTCATTAACAAATTACTTCAATATTAGTTTAAAATAGCACACATATTATCTTTTGTAATTTTTTTTGGTTGAGACAGGGTCTCACTATGTAGTTGAGTCTGACCTGGAACTCACTATGTAGCCCAGGCTGGCCTCAAACTCACAGCAATCCTCCTGCCTCAGCCTCCTGAGTGCTGGGATTACAGGCGTGCACCACCATGCCCAGCTTCTTTTGTAATTTCTCACAATTAATTATCTGGTAGTGGCTTAGTTGGGGATTTCTGTCTCAGAATTACTCAAGAGATTATAGATAAGTTGCTGGCCATGGTTGTAGTCGTCCTAAGACTTGATTAGGCTGGGATGTCTGCTTTCACGCTCACTCGTGTGGTATTTTGAAGTCCTCTATTGCTTACTGTGTGGGCTTCTCCATTGAATCACAACATGGCAGCCTGCTTCCCCCAGAGTGAGTGATCTGAGAATGGGCAAGTGAAGGAGCATCTGAGGTGCAGGTTGTAGTCTTTTATAACTTGCTCTCAGAAATGATGTCCTATTATTTTGTCATATACTATTAGTCACGCAGATATACTGTTAGTCACAGCTCTGGTACAATGTGGGAAAGGCAAGTATATGGCATACTAGAAGGTAGGGGTAAGTGGAGCCATTCTGGAGACTGGCTACCACAATTAGTTTTACTCGAGAACTGGAGCTTTCGTGGTATAATAGGAGAACCTCAAAATTCTGCAACTTAATGAAAATATTTTGCTCTTTTTCCAGGAAATATGCAGTGTAATACCTGAGAATAAACTATATTTACTGAATTTCTGCAGTCAGCACTATAACTTAGGGAAGAACAATTTGCTGGTGTTTTAAAGTTGATTAAACATTGTAATGCTCTATTTTAAAATTATATTTTAAATCTGTCTACCATTTTACAAATTCTGCTGTTATAGGATTGAATCTTTGGAAGAAGAAATCATTTCCAAAAAAGTTAAACTTGTGATAATTGACTCCATTGCTTCTGTGGTCAGAAAGGAATTTGATACACAACTTCAAGGCAATATGAAAGAGAGAAACAAGTTTTTGGCCAAAGGAGCATCCTTATTGAAGTATTTGGCTGAGGAGTTTTCAATCCCAGTAAGTTTTTCTTTCTTCTTTCTCTTCCTTTTATATTCAGTTCAGTTATAATGTCCGGTAGTAAAATTGGTAGATGTGAAACAAATGAATTTTCTTTAAAAGATAGCATAGTTTAATTGCTATAGAAAGTATCAGTATTTTCTTGAATTAGTTCATCTCCTGAATGAGTTGTACCTTGGTTCTTGAACTTGATTTTTTTCCATGATTTTGGTCACAAACTGAGTTGGATGGGAACTGAATCAAATTCAGTGGTTGGGTTCAATGCTGACCTTATGGGAAAATTTGTCCTGGTTTTTGTCTTGTTCAGTTGGCAACCAGAATCGTGGAGAAAATTGAGTTTGTGAACCCAGGTACAACTCTAGTTTACTCTCTCCATAATTCATCACTTGGGAAATTTGTCATGATTTGCCTTTTAAAAGATTCCATGGTCAACTTTTTTTCCCATCTTGTCATTTACTCATTGTGCATGTTTTATATCATTTGTTACACCGAGATAGCTCTTCAGTAGTAAAACTCCATGAAATTTTCCAGGTTTATTTCTATAGAGTTTCTTTTTCTTTTCCTTCCTTCCTTCCTGCCTGCCTGCCTGCCTGCCTGCTTGCCTTCCTTTCTTCCTTCTCTCCCTCCCATCCCTCTTTCTTTCTTTTTTTCTCCTTTTCTTTTTCAATACTGGAGATACAGTATTACTAAGCCATATCCCTAGCTGTTTATAATTTTTATTTTGAGAGAGGAGTTGCCTGCATTGTTCTTGAATTTGTGATTCTTGTGCCTTGGCCTCCCCTGTAGCTGGGATTGCAAGCTTATAACATGACATTTGGCTGAAGTTTCTTTTACTGCAGTAGTTGTAAGTTTTATACATAATTTGGGTTGATTTTCTGTGTTATTTTGTTCAGTGCTGTTTTGTACACAGTATGATTTAGTTTGCTTCAAATAGCAAGTGCTCGACCATCAATGAATGCTGGGGTACCAGTAATGAAAGTGCCATTAGGCACAGTTGGCATGGTACTGTGATTAGGAAGTATGAAGATGAGGGAATGTTGGAAAGATTTGTGGTGAATAAACTACAATATGTAATTGTGTACGGAGTTTCACTGCCATGATCAGCACGTGGAAGAGTATTCTTGTTTGCTAGCATCAGCAACACTTGGTATTGTTGGGCTTTCCAATTTAGTCATAAGATAAAATTTGGTTATGATTTTTTAATTTTAAAATTTCTTTTTAGAAAATTAAAATCTTGGATCTTTGTAAGATAAAGAGTATATTGTGAATAGCTTAAACTACTATTCAGCCTTCGAGATTTATAAAGCCAAAAAAGAAGTCAAGGGAGAAAATATGACATAGGGAAAGTTCTACATATTTAATATTTTTAATTCAAAATCATGTGGTCAAAAGTTTATCTTGGGTGGTGCACACTCATCTTTTAAATTTTCCTATAGTTGGTTGAAGTGATAAATTTAAATTCATGTTTTTCCTTATTCAAGGAGAATAAGGGAATCTAAAAATATTTTATAAAGATACTTGATTAAATGGAAATTTAACTATCTACTTATTTTATTAAGTCACACAGTTGCTTGACATAAACCCATGCAAAATATGAAATTCTCTCTCTATTTTAGTGTTTTTTGCTTTTATTTAGGGTGAGAAGGAGGAGGGAGGAGGAAATACAGGGTGCAGAGGGGCTGAGGTCAGGTGACATTATCTTTCTGCTCCAACCAGAGTACTGTCATCCTTACGGCAAGCTTGCCTGAAGGGCATGTGTTGCATTTGTAACAGCATCCGGGACTGTTGTGTTCAATTGGACAGATCATGGGCACCGGCATCACGTGAGCAGGTCCGGCTGTGTTTCTAAGGGGAACAGGCAGAGATGGCCGCCTGGCTCCAGCTGACTAGGCTCATCCATTGGCTGTCAGGGGAAGCAGGGACGGAGGACAGAAGACTCATCACAGGGACAGTGACCAGACACTTGCAGCGGGAGGAGGAGGAGAGTGATGAGAGACTTGGGCAGGCCAGGGCTGGAGATTCCAAGTAGTCCACCCTTTGAGAAGGGATGGAGGAGTAAAGGCTGATGGGATGGAGAAAAGAAGACGAGCTAGGAAGCTACGAGGGTGGAGGTGAGAGAGAAAAGTGCCAAGTGCTCCAGATGAAGCAGAAAAGCATCTTCCAGTAAGACTGCCCTGTCCAGACACCACTGGACACAGAGAGTGACAAAAAGCTACTCCAGAGTTCCTAAGTTGCTTCCTTCTCTGGTTCCACACTGGTCACAACACAGAGCCCAAGCAGCTGTCCCACCAGCGGTGACAAGGGCAGACTGGGCACAGCCAATCCGCTGCACATACACAAGCTCTCTCAGCCAGGTCTCAGGGACACCAGCAGCTCCTGCAGGCAGGGGATGGGCTAGGGACTCTCAAAGTGATTGAGGAGCCGGAGTTCTGCACTTTCCTCGGAATGATGGAGCCAGGATGACTTCCTTCTGTTTTTGACTTTAAAACAAGCCTAGAGCACAGTTGCTCTCAGCAGCCTTTTGTGAGGCAGCTCTGTAGACTCGGGCTGTCTTTTGGGGGCACTAGGCCTCTCTAAAACCACAGGCCTATCTCAGTTTGACCCCCACAAACCCAACCAGGACAGCTCCCCATGACTCTGCTTTTGGGACCACATTCTTTGCTGCAGCCATAGATGACTGATGTCTAGGAGTTCCTGTCACTGTGATTTAGTGATGAGCTGGGTGGGACACCGCAGGCTCCAGAAAGAGGAGGAAAGGAAAGTCACAGGTCAGGGAAGCCTGAGAAGAGGAAGTGAATGGAAGCAGTGGCCTCCGAAGCATGAGGTGGGGGACCCTGAAGCTCAGCATGCTGATGAGCCCTGTGGTGGGTTCGCCGCTCACGCCATGCTGGCCAGCGTGGGGAATGACAGGGATTGTACCTCCACAACTTTTCCTTTCGAATAGTGATTGCAGGCTAATGCTTTCCACTATTTTTCCTGAGGTGTTTTATCTTTCTGAGAAAGGAACTCTGCTCTTTTTTTAAAAAATGTGTTAGGCTTATTGGCACATTTTAGATATACAGTATGCTGGCATTCATCATTGGGAATTCGTACCTTTACATGAGATATCTTGGCTCTTATTTTTTTTTCCCCATTCCTCTGCCCTTCATTCAACCCCTCCAGCCCTCCCTATTTACAAAGATTTTTTTTCCATTTTTTCCTTTTCTTATATTTATTCCTTTTTCTTCTTTCCTTTCCCCTTCCCCTCCCACTTTCCCTTCCCCTTTTGACTTTTGCTTTCTATTTCATATCTATTACACGTTTTGATCCTTATTTTCATTTTCAGTTTTCACACCAGAGAGACTGGTATTTACATATGTGTGTCTTAATAATTTCACTTGAGAGTATGGCCTCAATGTGCATCCATTTAGCTATAAATGTCTCTAGTTCATCATTCTTTATGGCTGAGTAGTACTCCATTTTAATAAAAAAAAAGCCCACATCTTTTTTATCCAGTCTCCAGGTGATGGGCAACTAACTGCACTGTTTCCAAGTTTTAGCTATTGTAAACTGTGCTGCTATAAACATGGTTGCACATATATTGCTGAGGTATGGTTCTTTAAATTCTTTTGTAAAGATACCCAGCATAGGGATAGTTGGGTCAAATGGGACCTCTAATCCTAGTTCTGTGAGGTATCTCTATACTGATTTCCACAGTGGTTGCATCAGTCTGCACTCCCTCCAACAGTGGAGAAGGGTTCCTTTCTCCCCACAACCCCACCAGCATTTGTTATTGGCTGATTTCTTGATCGCAGCCATTCTTCCTTTGTTTTCATCTGCATCTCTCAAAAGACCAGTGACATTGAACATTTTTTTTCACGTTTATTTGCTGTTTCTGCTATTTTTTCTGAGCAATGTCTGTTCTTTTCAGATGCCCATTTTTGGATTGGGTCTTTAAATTTGAGAGGTCTGATTTTTTTTTAAGTTCTTTATATATTCTAGATAGTAGATCTTTGTCTGAGGAGCAGCTGGTAAAACATTTTTTCCCCAACTTGTGGGTTGCCCCTCCACTCTGTTGGTGGTTTCTCTTCCTGAGCAGAAGCTTTTTAATAAAATGAGATCCCAGTAGTTAATTGTGGTAGTTCACCTGTGACTGAAGTTTTGTTCATGAAATCTTTTCCTACGCCAGTGTCTTAGAGATTTCTACCTAACCTCCAGCCGGCGTAGTGTTTCTATTTTAACGTTTAGAGCTTTGATCCATTTTGATTTTAGTTTAGTGTATGGTGAAAGATATGCTTCTAATTTTAATCTTTGGGCAAGTTGAAACCCAATTTTTCCAGCACCCATTTATTAAAGAGGCTATCTTCCCTCCAGTAAGGGTGTTTGTCTCCTTTGTCAAAGATGAGGTAGCTGAGTGTGTCTGGAGTTGTTTCTGCATCTTCTAAACTGTTTCACTGATCCTTGGTAATAGAGCTTTCTAAAAGAATAGGTACTTTGTATCACCACATTTCTCTGTCTTTTCCTTATTTCTCTGTTTAGAGATAAATGTAGAATATGCTATGTTGTTTTATAATAATGTGGTATTGGTATTCTGACAGGTAAGTATTGGCTTTAAAAGCCTTTGAAAATACTTCTTTTAAGAAATGTCAGAATTTTCCTAACCTAATTAACTCATTTAAATGGAAAATCATGAACTTTTAAGCTTTTGTACTATACTTTGAATAAGTGGCTTCATATGGAACTAAATTTCTTAAAAACAGTGTGTTATTTTCTAGTTCATTGTACTTTTCAAATTAGCAAACCTTGTGCTTTCTTGCCAGTCCTCTAACATGGCAACAAACGCTCCTGCCTCAAGGATGTAAGAGTCAATAACACTATATAGAAATCCGTTGTTTTTTCTATATGGGAACCCTGACCAGTTGGAAATTGAAAGCCTGTACCATTTATAAGAGCATTAAAACATGAAATACTTAGGGACAAAATTTTTTTTGCTAAAAACTATAAAACAGTGATCAAAGAAC